CATTCCTTGCCACAACGGGCTTCCGTCTTCACCAGTATCATTGCTTAAACTAGCTTTGATATTACGGCCAGTGTGGTTCTGCTGGCTGATGGTTCGTGGAGTTGATTAGTTCACAACATGGCAACTACATCGTGGGATGACGTACGGGACTGGCCGGCGTCTGTGGTGCAGGGGTTAGGTGCTTGGTCGCCACACGCAGGAGAACCCGGTTTGATTCCCATGTGGGGGAGAATTTTAATCGGGTGTCTCGGTCTTTTTTTCTGCCCGGGCGTAGTGTAGCTCTCAGCCTGGGTTGGCCCCAACAGACAGGGCTGAAGCCCAAGTCCTAAATAATCTAAATTGTTTCGATGGGGTGTAAAAACACCGACATTAAGAGAAAAAAGAAAAAGGCAGGTTTCCTCTTTGCAGAAAAGAAGAAAAAAGATAGACAGAAGTTTTAATGTTCTTATGTATGTGTGTGTGCGTGTGTGTGTTTGTATGTTAGTATTTGTATGGTACAGAAGAGAAAAAAGACGTTCTTGTCTCTGTAAAACTCTTAATACGGTACTCTGTTATACACTTATGTAATGTGTATTTGTGTTTATGCATACACATGGATGACATTGTTTGTGTGTGTATGCATTTTTGGTCCGTGTAAACATATTGACTGGTTAGAATTTAGACTCCACCATGTATGTGTGTGCCTAAAGAAAGGTACGAAAATTTGCCCCAGACCATTTTGAGCTACAGGCTGATATGATAATGACAAATAATCACTTTTTAAAACTAAAATGTGTTTCCTTACAAATGATAGTTCCACCATTTTTTAACAATGTGTTAAGAGTTTTCATTGATTTGACTTCTTAATATTTTATTTTGAATTATTTTTAGGGTAGGGTATGTTTTAAAAAGATACTGATAATGAAAACTGCTTTTAAAAAGTGTTAAAATCTATTCTTGAAGCACGTTTCCTCTTTTCCGCTATGTTTTACCATTGAATTCTAGTCATGATATTGATGTCAACTGAATGTCGAATTGGAAATGAATTTTCCATGAATAAATACATCAGAAACAATTGAATCATTGGTTGTTTTTTTTCAAGTTTGTGTGTTCTAAACTTAAAAGCTAATTTTCTCAAAATTAGATCTTTATACCCTACCTCGCAAATTGTGCAATATCTCAAAATCTACTTGAGGTATCTCAAAAATTAAAAAACCCACTGCGTTCAGCATTGAATTTCCTATTACTATTAGGTACAACCCTTAACTCAAAATGGTTAAAATCCGACTTTTAATGGTTAAAATCCTACTTTTGGTACCTTTCTTTAGGCACACACACATATGTGAGGCAGCGTGGTGGAATCAGGCTCTCGTCAAAATAATGAAATCGAAGGAAACAGCAGTTTCTCCCTGCTTAACAATTTTTACCAAATTTTTGTTTTTCGGCTCAACACCTTGTTTGTATGTCCATTTACAAACAAATTCCTTTGAGGATTTCACCGAAAAGCGTAGATTAAAGGCACAAAAATATAAATTTACAGTTTCATTGAACTCTCCAGCTTTGGAATTTACCAAGCTTTGGCTGCCATTTTCTCGCTAATTTTACCTCTTGAACCAAGTGACCCCCACCTCCTTCAATCCAAAATATCTCCACTTCTATTGAAGATGGAAGGGTTATTTTTTCATTGAAAGCAAGACCCATGAACAAGCTTTAAGATGATACCAATACCTCAATTTGCTCAAAAATTGACCAGAGCCTGATTCCACCTCGCTGCCTCACATATGCCATTTTGAAAAGTAACGTATGACAGAGTGTTGCACCGAGCAGTCGATATGGCTTACATTGTGTGTGTTTATGTTATGTCTGTATGTGTGTATGTCTGGAGTATGGGAGTATATTTATGAATGTAATATGAGATTTTGGATACATTATATTGATATATATGTGTGTGTGCATTCTTCTGGTACAGATTTCTATACTTATTCAAGTATCTGTCCCTGTCGTTTTATGCAAGAAAAATTCTGAAATTATGCAAACTGAGCTAAAAAATGTGAAATTATGCGATTCTGTTAATTTTAACAAAGAGTGATAACGGAAAAGAATCGGAAATTATGCAAAAAGTTATCAAATTTGGCTAAATTATGCGGGGTGCATAAAACTACGGGAACAGAAGTATAGCCTACTTTGATGAGCGATAACAGGGGGAAGTTCTGTTGAATATTTATGGGATGGTTTCCCTCTTTCCCTTGTTTTATTGGACAATGTTCCCCTATTACAAGATGTTTTATTTGACAGTGTTCCCCTATTACAAGATGTTTTATTTGACAGTGTTCCCCTATTACAAGATGGTTTATTTGGCAGTGTTCCCCTATTACAAGATGTTTTATTTGACAGTGTTCCCCTATTACAAGATGGTTTATTTGGCAGTGTTCCCCTATTACAAGATGTTTTATTTGGCAGTGTTCCCCTATTACAAGATGTTTTATTTGGCAGTGTTCCCCTATTACAAGATGTTTTATTTGACAATGTTCCCCTATTACAAGATATTTTATTGTAATGGACAAATAATCCAATAAAAAGGCAACAGAATGAAGAAAAATTTGTGCTGTTTCTCTGTAGCTTATATGTATTGATTGCATTTATTATTGTACATACATATTATATATGTGTGAGGCAGTGTGGTGAAAGCGAGCGCTCGTCAAAATAATGAAATCGAAGAAAACAGCATTTTTTTTCCCATTTGGCAATTTTTATCGAATTTTTACTTTTTGGCTTCAATACCTTTTATGTCCATTTATAAACATATTGCTTAGTGGCTTTTCCTGAAAAATGCTGATTGAAGGCACAAAAAATGTAAATTTTCAGTTTCCAAGCACTCTCAAGCATTGGAAGATACCAAGCTTTTGCAGCCATTTTCTCCCTTATTTTACCTCTGTCTGAAAGCAGGCGACCCCCACCTCCTTTAATCACAAATATATCGACCTCTTCTCTATATAGATGAATAAAATTTCACCAAATGCAAGGCAAATGAACAGGCTTTAACTTTAAGATGATACCAATAACTCCATATATGTCCAACAATTGACGAGTGCCTGATTCCACCGCATCTTGACACTGTATAGATTAGTGGAAAGTGATAAGATTAGGTATTTTACAAAAAAAGAACAAAGCTATCTTTCATTCAATTGTTTCATGGTATATGTATTGTCAAACATCAGCAGAACAGAATATTTTCCAGAGAGAGAAATGCAACAAGTAGTAAGACTTGTAATAAAAAAAGATTAAAAGAGAACAGCTGATCATATGAATCAAAATTTATGGTGCCATTTAGATCAGGTGTTTCTGAAAAGTTGGTGTGTGGGTGGTTGACGGGTGCTTTACTGGTGAGGTTTGCACCTTCTTTTCTGTCAAACAAACATCTATCGTCCTTATCTCTGCTCCTTTTTTTTTTGTGTGTATGTTACTCTCTCGTAAAACCGCTAGTCCTTATCTCCGCTCCTTTTTTTTTGTGTGTATGTTACTCTCTCGTAAAACCGCTAATCTTCAGCACTTATAAGATCTAATAATTGTGTTGCAAGTGCTGTTGTAAAACGCTTACTGAAACTAAACTAAAACATTTCCCAGAAGATGGTGGTGTCCAAAAAAAAAATACAATGGAGTCAGCTTAAATTGAATGGAAATCTGAAGGACCCCTGGATTTTTTTCACTGTTGCTGGGTTTTTGGTTTAGAAATGTTGCTCAAATAGAAGGAAAAAAAAATTGTGGATTTAATTTTATTTTCTTTCATTCAGTTTACCACTGTTTTCATAAAATAAACCATATTTGGTTTAAATGAACTCCACTGTAGCTGTAAGCTCGGATTTTACATTTGTGAGCCGGTCTGAGGAAACTAAGAATATACTTGTGTGTGCCTAAAGAAAGGTGCGGTACCAAAAGTCGCCACAGAGAATTCTAAGCTACAGGCTGATATGACAAAAAAGTAACTTTTTTTTACCAAAATGTGTTTTTCATTTTAAAAAAATGATAGTTCAACCATTTTTAACTATGTGTTAAAACGGTTTTCATTGATTTGACTTCTAAATATTTTATTTTGAATAATTTTGAGACTATAGTATTTTTTAAAGAAATAATGAAAACTGCTTTTAGAAGGTGTTAAAATCTCTTCTTGAAGCATGTTTTCTCTTGCCCGTTATGTTTTACCATTGAATTCTAATCATGATATTGATGTCAACTGAATGCCAAGTTGGAAATGAATTTTTCATGAATAAATACTTTAGAACAAATGAATCATGTTTTTTTTTTCAAGTTTGTATGTGTGTCCTGAACTTTAAAAAAAAGCTAATTTTCTCAAAAGTAGATCATTATACCATACCTCACAAAATGTGCAATATCTCAAAAACTGCTTGAGATATCTCAAAAAATTTTTAAAAACCCACTGTGTTCAGCATTGAATTTCCTATAAGGTACAACCCTTAACTCAAAATGGTCGAAATCTGACTTTTACTTGCTACCTTTCTTTAGGCACATACACATAATATGTTGATGATAAACCTCGAACAGAGATATCAGCAAAAATAGTCTTGTGTGGTCAATTCTGGCCGATTATGAATTATACACGTACCGGGGGGATTCCCCAACCATTTTAGAAAATATTTTAACTGTCCCTGTTGTTTTATGCGAGATAAATTCTGAAATTATGCAAACTGAGCCCAAAAAATGTGAAATTATGCGATTCTGTTAATTTTAACAAAGAATGATGAAGGAAAATAATCAGAAATTATGCAAAAAATCATCAAATTTTGCTAAATTA